TAATCTACATGTGTAGCAAAGAAAGAAAGAAGACATAACTCCATTAGTGGAATAACAATTTTTTTTTTCTTTGAGCATGTTTTTGTGTTCATTTTATTGTATTCTAATTATCTGTGCAGTTACAAAGTGATATATATTATTTGTTGGTTCTAACATTATTTTTTTTCATTTTTTTTCAAGAATGAGATTTGTTGATGAATGAGCCCAAGGGTTTTGTTAGCTGGGTTGTTGTCCATTCTTTGTTATATTAATCATCAATAATATTATTTTTTTTCATTTTTTTTCAAGAATGAGATTTGTTGATGAATGAGCCCAAGGGTTTTGTTAGCTGGGTTGTTGTCCATTCTTTGTTATATTAATCATCAATAATATTTCTATTTATTTTTTAAAACATTAATTAATTGTTTTTCAGATTGACATATTATCGTTATACGTCAGCTGCTCTTAGACCTTTCTTCAACTTCAATGTTATTAATGTGGAATATAAAGACTGGTTTTACAAGTTGGAAAGGTGTAACACATGTCTTGAATCTTCGTGAGTTTGTATAAAAAAAATTATTATTTTTTTTCATAAATATCTGCTGATGAGGGTTTTTTTTTTTTTCAATGCAGCATATGGATGTCTTTATTTACTATTTTAGAAAGATGGCATTCCACACATTGAGTATGGTTGCATTGCGATTTACGACTACATATATGATTTTTGATCAGTGGATTCAAAGTGTTTATCAGAAATTTTATCAAGGTCAGGATATAAATCAGGTTGTGATTATGCAGAGTGGTATTATTGATTATATGCGTGGATTTAAGATTATTTGTGGATTACCTTGGGACAAGGTTGATCATGTTTTTATTCCAATTAACATGAAAAAGCAATGGAGTGGGTCATTGTATTCTTAGTAGGATTGCTTTGAAGGAGAGATGTTTTTATGTTTACAATAGTGTTAGATCCCTGGTGATTGATGATGTTGTTGGGGAGGTAGTGATTTGTTATAGGATTATGCTTCCTAGATTTCTGAATTTGTTTGTGCCTCCAAAAATAAAGATTCATTTGGGACTTTAGGTCCTTATGTGGGATTTGATGGTTGTGATCCGCTTTTTATATATATGGTTGATGGGCTTCCACTTCAAGAGGAGGAAGGGTAGGGTATGTAATTTTTTTTTGTACTATTTATTTGGGTTTTTTTTTAATAATTGTTGATTTTAATTTATGTTTTGTATATATTTTTCCTTTTGTAGTGATTGTGGTGTTTTTGTTGTTTGCTATGCCGAGAGTTTTATAAGAGGTTTGCGTGTGCCTCCGGCGCCTTTTGATGTGGGGTTGCATAGGAAAAAGATATGCTTTTTTGTTGTACAAGCATGGAAGGAAGAAGTTATTGTCTGGTTATAAAAGCGAAGATGCACCTGTTGGATCGTAGACATTTTTTGAATGCAAACAGATGTTGATAAACTGAACTTTGTTTTATTTTTATAAGTAGTTTGAGATGTATCAACTTTTTTTTTTAAGATTTTTAGATTGTTACTTTAACTTTTGATCTTGTGTTTTGCTGGGATTGGTCAGATACTTTTTATTATTTAATGGGTGTTTTGTTGGATTGGTAATTATATTATTATAATGTTTTTTTAACTTATTTGTTCATTTTGTTATGAACAAGTGGAATGTACCACTATTCATAAATAGTGAGTCCAACATGTGTGAATAGTAATGGAGTATGGGATATGAATAATTTATGTTCAAAGTGTCGGTAGAATTTGCCTATAAAAGGCACCCGAAATGCAATGAAAATTTACAGAACGAAGAAGAAAATTGAATATAAGTGATATCCAGTTTCTATATTATGTTCTTTATCTTTCCGTCTTTATAACACGTTATCAGCACGAACGCTCTACCCGGTCCGAAAGGTAGGAATATGCTAATATGTATATACATTACATAAAATCAGTATATTTTACTAATCTACATATTACCATTATTTTTGACAAGTACGGCTCTGCCATAGTCAAGAATATGTGGTATGAATATACTAAATATAACATTATACTAATTTACATATTACCATTATTATTGGCAAGTACGGCTCTGCCATAGTCAATAATATGTGGTAAGATGATATTATTAAATTTGCTTATGATTACTACTAATTATGATATATAACTTCAAGTTATAATAAATAATATTATTACTTGTACTTAACGCCCACAAAATGGTT